GCTCCAAAACGTGTTCACAAGAAAAAATTATCTTACACAGTAAGCCCATTTGAGCACTTATTTGAACTGATCAGGACAATAGGTGTGTAAACAGAAATATCTACTAGGAATAACTCAGTATAGCGACTAGGTTACTGCGTAGAATTTCTGGGAATCTGAGATCGATTCCCGGCGGCATCAGAAAATATTTACTTTTCTACAGAGTCCAGACCGGATCTGCGGCCCTTCCAGCCTGTTGTCAAATAAGTACCAGTGGCGCTTTCTCCGAGGAAAATGCGGCCTGGGCGTGAAGCTAATCATTCACGTCCATCCACGCTGCAGCCGAGGCTATGAATGCGTGCAGCCATACCTATACGTCCTCATACACAAGTACATACACTGCGTTTAAAGAACAGATTCACTTTAACGGAGGTGACTATTTGGCGACACATGTTTCAATATCAAATAAGCAAGCCTAACAATTTAACAAAGAAACGGTAGCACGTGAATATTACGTGAAACTGAGCAAGACCCTACAGCTTTTACCTCATACTGAGAAATATTGTGAAATGTATGCCTATAGAAGTTTCAAAATATTAGCGGCACTCCAGAAGAGAGGCTGCGCTGTAGCTATGCTCACATTTTCATAATGATAATTTAACAGAGATTTGTATGCTTCAGCATTTCCAGACAATGGTTGCTGAGTTCAGCTACGTGTGACTGTGGAGTCCGTGAGGAAGTGGTAATGAGTGAGACTCACAGGTCGCTTAACAGCTACCAACTAAATGACTGTAACAACATGATGATCTAATCACCATGAACAAACATCGAAATTGATGGTATCTCATGACATGTTAGACGAACATTACTTGTCAAACATTTCTGTCGGCTCTCGTACTTCAAAGACTCGCACAGTTACGACAATAATAATGATAATGAGCACCAGGAGAAGGGACAGGTGGAGGGGGAAGATGGTACTTGCTACATGCGGGGAGTAATCCTTCGTACAACGAGCACAGTAATAGGCACTAGAGCCCCAGTGGGCCTAAGCCTACCTCCATGAACTTCTCCGTTCACATCGGTTTTTCTAGATCTTACACATTCGGTAGGACTCCTTGGGCGGGTGATCAGCTCGTCGCAAGGCCTCTACCTGTACATAAACACAGAAAAAACACACAAACTACACATCCAAGCCCTGAGTAGGGTTCGAACCACGATCCCGGTTTCCAAGCGACCGAAGACAGTACATGCCTTAGACCGCTGGGCTACCGTGACCGGCAGCAACTCAATCAGTCTCAGGTATTCTCACTTTTACACATCCGTTTCCACTGACTGTCTCGTAGGTTGAGTCAACTGAAACCATCAAACTAACAAATTTTCCAGCCAAGTATCTAATTAACGGGCAAATTATTCAATCAATAAACCATCCAACTAACTAACGAAAAAAACAACTCACCATAACAACAAACCCTCCAAACAACAAATCGACCAACAAACAAAATGCCCAATATCTATGCAACTACCCAATTAGACTGTTTTTCTTTGGGTAAGATAACTGGCGATTTATAATCTTCACTTGTTCTAAAATTGTGATTAAGTCTGAGAATTAGCGGAGGTTCTACCTAAAGCCTTTGTGGACTTCCGGTGAATTTTCTTGTTTCTTTTTCCTTAAACAATGCTGTAAACATCTTAGAACATATATGGTTGAATGACGCTTTATGAATAATAAATTTGAAGTGACGTGGAAAGGGCCGGTGCTGGCCTAATTTAAAGTAACATCCGGGCATTCAATGGAGGAACTGAGAAAAACATCGAGATAATCTATTGTCCGGCCGAGATTCGAACCAGGCGCCTGCCAAACATAAGTGAGGAACGCTACCTCTAGTGAAAAATAGTAATTGTCGCCACAGGAAACTGCCATGTTACTTACAATCTCCACAATTTACTTCGGCGCCCACGTTTCTGAGAAAGAGTAAAACTTAATCCCGTGCGCCCCCAATGCAGCATAGACTGATGCGCAAGCGCAGAGAGCAACTTTCTCAGCGGTATTCTGCATGATCTAATCTTATTTTAGTGCAGCTACTCTTATTGAAGATAACTACGCAATCCTGAGAATGCATGGCGCTTTACCACCACGCTCGGATACATATCACAAGAAACGATATTTCGTACAGTCTGAATTTGTAGATCTGTCCCCCTTTCAGACCTTGAAGGTAAAATTGTGCTGCTCAGGACAGAGAGGAAGAAGAATAAGAAGAGTGCAGTAGGAATGCAAGAATAAGCAAAGAAGAGGAAGAAGGAAGGGAGTTGAAGATGGGGGAAGAATACATGGATTAGTAGGAATATGGGCGGAGGGAGAAGATTAAGGAGAGAAGAGAAAGGAGGTGAAGTAGAGGGAACAAAAATAAGGTTGATAATAGAAAAAAGAATAATAAAAAAATGGAAATGATAAAGCAGAGGACAAATGGAAAGGGAAGAAGAAACTTATTTTTGATGTCTTGGGTTTGAAAAGGATACCCAATGATATATAAAGACTTCACTAATTCGGGCCAGTATGGAGATAAACTTTGTACAAATTAGTGAATGTCCGACTTACAGTAGTGCTACTGAACTTATGTGCCGGGAAGTGGTCTCCGTTCCAGACCACTACTTCACAGAAAATCCGGTAATGTCGGAAATCGAACCTGGGACCTCTGGATTTGTACCCAGGAACTCTGACCACTAGACCACAGAGGCGGTCATTATGGAGTGATATATAGCAAAACGAGCTTCGAAAATTTCAGTTCATATTATTCTGCACGGGAACTCTCTTTTTAATGAGTAGCTTTCGAACAGAACGGGAACGACTGGGGCTCTATCTCGTCCCTGCACGCCCCTACGCAGGGCATTCTAGTGCACTGCTTTGACACAAGAGTATGGACACATGGCGGGAACTGTAACACAATCTGCTGACTTCGGTTGCTTCACAGAGCAGCTATTTTTATTTCATGTTATGGATGACAGCAAAGTTGGACCCCTTGCTTTGTGTAGGTTGTGTTTATTTGACAATCCTATATTAGAGGACTCGGATGTGTTTGTTTAGGCGTTCACTCCCTGCACTTCGGTCTGCCAGATATTCGCACACCCACGCGAGGGGTGAGGGTAGCTAGTTGGAGGGTAGGAGAGGGGCTGGAGTTCCCAACATCAGCATAAGTAACTTCACATAGGCGCGCCATTTCATGTGCTGGTTGGGTAACTGATCTGTACAACTCCATTCACAACAAATCATGCACGCTGCAGTTGTTTCTTTTTAATTCGTGTCGTGGGGTGAGACTGTGTCCACTTGGTACACTGGCCACTAGTGGGTATATAGAGGCTTATTTAACAATTATCTGCATGTGTAGTGACTGCAGATGTTACGCGGTTTGATGAGATGTGTAGAGTGGTTACTAACGGTGGGTTACTTTACAACGCTTCTAGTATCGCAGACTATATTGCGTAGAATGGCAGAATAATAGATGTATGATTAATTTAAAATAATGTATAGACTTTCTTTCACACCGCCACGAGCCCTAGAAATCTTCAACTTGAGTCCATACCAGTAGGCCTTCTAATTAAGCAGACGAAATGACGGGTCAGAATGAGACGAGTGGCCATGAGTAACAGTGAGAATATCGCACTCACAGGATTAGCAATCTCCATTTCTTAAGGCCGGATGTGCGCCATGCTTACAGGCGATAATTCTAACGATAACAATTCCATTTTAAACAACGTCTGTTAATTAAAGTATTCTCACATTGCGCACCACGCTGGAGCAATCATGTCTTATCTAAAGTAAGTCCAGTTTTGTCTTAATGAAACCAATTTTACCGCACAGTGCTTCTACAGCCCACTTTGACTCACTCGCCTAAGGAAAGCTTCTTGTGGCTTGCTTCTGAACTAACTTCAGGCACTGGAAAGAAGTCCCCCGGATGGTGGGAGTGAGGGACTTCCCCTTCTGCCTCAAATTATATTGCCTCATCCCCTCTAGCATACTTCAAGTAGCCAAAACTGCTCGTCGCTAGCAAAGATAATGAGGTAGCGGGGGGTGGAGTCCAACTGGGTCCACTCGGCACGGCGGCCACTGATTGGCCTATTATAGCCTATCACTGGTGATTATGATGTGGAGAATTTGATGGAATGAAGATTGGCAGGGGAAACCGAAATACTCGGAGAAAACCCGCCCCAGCGGCACTTTGTCCACCACAAATCCTACTTGACCGGACCCGGGATCGAACCCGGGCCGCCGCGGTGGGAAGCCAGCGACTAGCCGCTTGAGCTATGGGGCGGCCCAAGAATATGAGGTAGGTTTAATTCGTAACACTCGCCTGAATATAATGGAGGGACAGTGGAGGGGACATACGAAACTACTGGAGTGGGAAGTGCAACATTTCGAGAGTGATATTTGGAAGATGTTAATGTAGGATTTCTACGGCCTCAGTACACTGGCGGCCAGTTCCCTTTCATCCTTAATATTAGGACCTGTTGAAAGATTAGCTCCAAGATCATATTAACCCACATACAAGCTCTATTTGACCTACATAACATTAGATGTTCTGCCTATTTTCTCCAGTAACATATGTCAAAAACGTAGGGCCTGTCACGTGTGACTCACTAGTTTTCAACACAAAAGGCACATCTTATATACACATGATGAAACCTGAGCTTCATTTGTAAATGTTGAAACCAAAGAGCAGTCAAAAACAGTGGACGTACGCACATTCACAAAACAAGCCGAAAAAATTATAAACAAACGTGTTCTGACAGGAAGTTTATTAAAACTGTTTTCTGGGACAGGACAGGAAAAGAGGGCTAATGTTGGAATTCATGCAACAAGGGGCCACAATAACGTCAGACTTATACTGTGAAACACTAAGAAAACTATGTAGGGTCATTCAAAACAAAAGGTATGGAATGCTGACATCCGGTGTAGTGCTCCTCCATGACAATACGCATCCTCATACTCGCAAGCATGTAGAGTGGTGTCATGGTACAGTACTCACCTAACGTAGTCCCTCTTGCAGTACGTCTTGCCGTCTCTGACGAAGCAGGTGCAGGTTTCGTCCAGGAACTGATGGCACTCTGCACACTTGAGGCAGGCGGCGTGCCACTCCAGGTCGGGGGCCACTCTCAGGATATATTGGTCGTGAATTTGAGCTCCACAGCCCACACACAGACTCAGCCGCCGCTTCTCTGAAACACACAGTGTTATCTCTCAGCTCGTCTGTTACGGACTTCAATTGTGACAGAGTAGCGAAAACCAAATTTCTTCGGAGTTCTCGTATTCGCATGTGTGAAATCCTGTCCGTGATGAAGGCAGGAGCTCCATTGCAGGTCATTACATTTATAAATCCCATCGAATTCTTCCCTTATCTGAACACGATTCCTAAATGCATGTACATAGCCTTATTCCACCTTACCCAAATTTATCTTCTTCACTTTCTTCACTGTGGTTGATATTTCGTTATTCCACCAAAGGTAAAACTGTTCCTGTGCTTAATTAACTAGCTATTACACCATGAAGACATACGAGGCAGTGGATGTATAGATCCACGTATTCTTGATCTCGGCAATAATTGGAAGCTAGTGGTTAGTTTCACTTCCCAGCCGCTCTATCTCATGAGCAAAATCCCCGGCGCCCATTGGATAAGAGGTTTGGTAGGTCCCAAAACAGATGTGGAACATATGGGGACAAGAATTCTGTTCCTACCGGAATCGAACTCCGACCCCTGGGCCGTCCAGCCCATTGCCAGTCGCTACACCGACTGCTCTATCTGGACTGGATTAACTAAAAACTGCCTTAATGTTTATAATTTCCGTTCTATTGTTTATCGGTTATTAATTAGGCCGCGAAATACAACTGCTTAAAATTTGTAATCAGATAAACTATATTCAGATGTTTTACAGTGAACTCACTGTATCGTGTTTAGTAAAAGCTATCCCTGTAATAGAGCCTGGAAGCCCATAGGATTGCGAGACGTCGAGGCTTTCACTTTTTCCCTAGACACTCGGCTCACAGATGGAGGTGAGGTTGTCAACCATACGCGTCGGCAGCCTTTTACCCCCAAGGAAGTTTCCTGGTACTCAATGGTGATAGAGGCTGAGTCGAACTCAGAGCCATAATGCGACTGGATGGATTAGGTCAATTGAAAATTTCAGTGACCTTATCGGGAATCGAACCCGCGACCTTCTAGTTTGTAGCAGAGTGCCTTAATCAACTACGCTACCGCGTGCCCTTTATTTAGGAATATGGAACCGTTTAAATACCTGATTCAGACCGCAGATATTCAAATGGTTAAGTACTTCTGAATTTCTGTTAAAGCATAAGAAGTTCACAATTTAAATAAACTGCTTCAAAAATTTATTAATATTAGGCCCGTAAAGCAATTGCTCTCAATGATGTTTACTTGTTATTCCCTTCATTAAACGGACATTTTGTCATGGGTTCATGTTCCGATTATAAATATATACGAGTGTATATATATATATAATTGTCATTAGAACCATTTATATGCCTAAATATGAACCAAAAGAAATATGAACTCATGCATGTCCAGTAAATGCTATATAACAAGGAGCACTGTCTCTAGCTGTAATAATCTTATTTGACCTCTGTAATTGTTAATGCCATAAAAAGGTAAAAAATAATGCAGTCCTTGTGCATAAATAATTATGCAGAAAGCCATGAATACATATGGGATTGTGTAGGTATAGCTCCACCATCCTTCACCTAGGCACTAGATGGAGGTGTCTTGTCAGCTTCATGCTCCGACCGCTTTACCTCCGGGGAAATAGCCAACGTTACCTATCTTAGGTTGGCCTCAGAGCCGTAAAGAGAAAAATGTTAACCTTGACGAGAATGAAACCCCGTCTATCCAGCCCATACAAAATGCTGTATTATTTGAACAAATTTAAGCATACCGATTACAGGCGGGGTAAATTGAAAAGTGTGACAAATGTGAAGGAAAGTATGCCCCCTTACAGCAAAATAGTAGCCCTAAATCCACCTTACAAACACAGTCCAAAAGAGAAAGACGAATTTGTCACGCAATATTACAAGAATCCACCCTGTTACATAACGATTAGTTAGATAAACTAAATAACGCCACATCAATGTTGCAATCTTTGTAAAATTAAAAAATGAAACAGAAGACAGTCTAAACGACCTGTATGTCTAGAAACATCTTTGTAGTACTTATAATAATTATTTAAAAAGCAGAAATTTTCAATCTGAAAATTTATTTAAAGTGTTACTAAGAAGTAACCGCCTCTGTGGTCTAGTGGTCAGAGTTCCTGGCTATGGATCCAGAGATCCAGATTCGATTCCCGGCCCTACCATATTTTCTTCTGAGAAGTAACTGGTCAGGAACGGGGTCCACTCAGCCTCGTGAGGATAATTGAGGAGCTATTTCAAGAAAATAGCGGCTCCGGTCTAGAAAACTGAAATTAACGGCCGTGGGGATTCGTTGCGCTGACCACGCGACACCCTCTATCCGCAAAAGTTGGCACTAAACATCGCCGACAAGCGGCGGTCGCTCAGTCGGTATAGTTCGCTTGTGGACTAAAATCACGGAGTTTTGTTACTAAGATGTGCATTTTAGAGATACTGGGGATCCGTGTATGCAATAAGGCTACCTTGTGTCATAAATGTCGCCAACACATAACAGCCTGAACATATAAGGAAACATCACGAGACATTACAGCCTATACTGTAATTGAGTACATGCCAATAACATTTGAAATTCATTCGCGCAGAGATATAATTTATATAATGCATCAATAAATATCATAAACCTTGAGGGAATATGATATTTAAACAGCGGACGAGTGTACTCGCATTGCGTCACTAACATAAGAAGACCAATAATATTGGAAAAAAAAAAACTGGTAAGCAAAAACACACTATTCCTCAGAAGTTATATCTTCCAATTTGCTGCCTCTGTTGGGGTAAAATAAAAATTTCGGTTTCCTGTAAGAAAATACTTCGTTTTGTACAGCAAAAGCGTAAACAAACTCCAAGGCAGCCCAGCGAATGTACTATTGAACTGTGGTACTGTTCGTTACCAAGGACAGTCAGACAATTACAGAAGCTGCTGTTTCTCTTCTCCGTTAAACTGCAGTTTGCCCGTCACGAGCAGCGCGCCAGTGAAGAACTGTTACGTCATGGCAGTAGGTTTACAAGCCTGTCAGCCAACGAGAGCAGCCATTAGGCCTCCCATACACACACAGTTTGGCCTTCCGATAGACCTTACAGGCAAAACTGTGACAGTTTACTCCCTCCCTTTCCTCCCCATACACGCGCAGATAAAGCGGCAGGCTTCATGACACGATCACGGTCTTCCAGCCTATAATGTTGAGTCACACCCGTCACATGCTACGGTCCTGCAGGCAGAACTGACGGACTGATGGATTTCCCACAGGCCAACAGTCCAAACGATTGGCCGGCCGGCCGCACCACACACGTCAGTTTTGCCTTTCAGTCTTCAACTGTGCAGGCCGAACTGGGGAGCAAACTGTGTGTGTATGGGGGGCCTTTACGCGCACGCTGCTGACGAAATCTGGCGGCTGGCATAGAAAACACTTTTCCAGGAACACTGTAGACATGTTGTCATTGTGTCTACCTACCTTAATTTAGTGGTAAAATTATTTCGCAAGAATAATTAGGCTCCGACCGCCTCTGTGGTCTAGTGGTCAGAGTTCATGGCTACAGATCCAGAGGTTCTGGGTTCGATTCCCGGGGCTACCAGATTTCCTGAAAAGTAGTGAGTCTGAAACAGCGTCCACTCAGCCTCGTGATGAAAACTGAGGAGCTACTTGAATGGAAAATTAGCGGCTCCCATCTAGAAAACCGAGATTAACGGCCGTGGGAATCCGTTGCGCTCACCACGGGACATCCTCTACCCACAAAAGTTGGTACTAACTTCGTCGACAAGCGACGGTCGTTCGATCGGTGTAGTTCGCATGCGGACTAAAAGCCACGGAGTTTAAATAAGTCTCAGATCAGCAAAATTGCATATCTACATGTAATGGCGTAAATATAATTTCTGTATAAGCATATTAAAAGAGCCCGGCTAGCCCAGTCGGAATAGCGATGGACTACGGGCTGGAGGGCAGGGATTCGATTCCGGGTAGAGGCAGGTAATTTATCGACGCCACAGCGTCCAAGCCGCTTCTCGGGTTCACCCACCTCCCATCCAGTGGATACGGGTGGGCCTTTCGTAGGGGTTAAAGCTGCCGGGGCTTGTAGCTTTTATCTAACATCCATCTAGTACCAAGGTCAAGAAAGGTGAAGATATACCTCCACTCTCCCATATGTTTTCATGGCATAGTGCTTAATTATTGATCAAGTCAAGGAGGATGAGGTGGGCAGGTCATGTAGCACGAATGGGGGAGACGAGGAATGCGTATAGGATATTGGTGGGAAAGCCAGAAGGAAAGAGACCACAAGGAAGACCAAGGCGTAGGTGGGTGGACAATATTAGAATGGATCTTAGAGAGATAGGATGGGATGGTATGGATTGGATAGATCTGGCTCAGGATAGGGAGCAGTGGAGGGCTCTTGTGAACACGGTATTGAACCTCCGGGTTCCATAAAATGCTGGGAAATTCTTGAGTAGCTGCAGAATTGGCGGCTCCTCCAGAAGGACTCAGCTCCATGAGTAAGTAAGAGTAAGTAAGTACTTAATTAACTAACACAGGGGCAAAGTTACGTTTAATAAGAATACTGATGAATGCATCACTTAAACTCTTTCATTACTTGTATGTAAGCCTGTATCAGAATGACCTGATTGGCAGGCCGACCCGCAGAATAATTTGTTAACAGGATTTGACCAAATTCCTTGTATGCAGTAATCCGATTGCAGGCGTGCTCAGACAACATGGCCATGGGTGGAATTGTTCCTTCTGTGGCACTCTCTGCTCCTTGCAGGTCACATTTCTGCATGTGGCCTTGGGACTAAAGCATTAAATTACACCTGGTGATCCCTTTTGATAAAATTAAAGTGGGCCCATTAATACAAGTAGACCATCTGCTAGACATATTAATGGCCATATCCTCTCAAACAGAGAATTCGTCCATTGCTAGGCATAATTTTGTAAATCGCGTATTTCAAAATTCCACATGAACCTACATTAATACTGGAGTTCTTCTGTATCAAATTTGTGGATTCGTGAATTTGGACAAAAGAAGGTAA